GGATATGCAAATTTGAGGGATTCTAGTGGCCAATCAGAGCAAGGTTTCGAAGGTCAGGTTTTTGGAAGGGAACCAATCATGGTAATTGTTTGCCCTCTGAGAAACCTCACAGAGGCAGACTCGCTGGTGTGCAGCTTCCCACACTGCCTGACCACTAGGAGACATCATTCCACATGTGTCAATGCCCTACGGTTGCTATGACAAACCGTGCCACAATCCCTTCTCCTCTGGGGATTTTTGGGCACACATGCAAATGCACCCTGTGTGAGTTTGAAGCTGTCTGGTCTAGGACTTCCACAGGCGACCACATGGGAGTCCAGCACCTTAACCACTATGCCACAAAGGTAATTTTTATTATTCACACAATGCATCTATTTTTTTTTTTTTTTTGGAGAGGTTTTTGCTGTAGGGGTGTGCGCTCACTAGAAAGACAGACAGAAAGCGAGAAATCACCCCTGGGGGGAATGGACATGCCGCAATGCCTTCTACTCCATTCTCCTCTCGGGATCTTGGGCACGCATGCACATGCACCCGGTGTGAGTTTAAGCCACCGGGTCCGGGACTTGAACCGCGCTCAACTACATGGGAGTCCAGTAACGTGACCATTAAGCTATCTGCTGGGCCCTGTTTTGCCTTTTTTAAGTTTTCTAAATTCCTTTATGAAAGACAAAGTGGGGTACCCTCCACAAAGTCTTATAACGTTACAATTCCTCACCCCCAGCCTCCCAGCCAGCAAGGCTCGCCAGCCCACATCAGGATCTGAACCAGGGGCCTCCTATATGGTTCTAGCATCACGCCGTGGCTACCATGTGTGCTATGGGTTCCAGTCTCCACCCCAGCTCTGCACCTGGGACTCCCGTGGGCCTGACCTCCTTCCTGTCCCTCAAACGCACTTTGTCTCAGGACCTCCGCGCCTGCCTTTTCTTCGTTTCTTCCGCCTGGAGCCCTCCTTCCCAATTCCCCAGGGTAACTGCCTGCTCAGTGTCACTTCCACCCCAGGACATCGGGCGCCGTCTCCCCCCTCCCTCGGCCACCCCGACCAAAGGTGGATTAAACAGTGTTTACTGCAATGACTGCCCACGGTACGCCTGTCCAGGAAGGCAGGCGGCTGCTTGCCACTGGTAACCCCAGCGCACCGCCAGGCGGGTTCCAACCTGGAGGGTTACCGCCCCCCACTCACAGACGTGGACGCTGAGGCTCGGCGCGCCCACGGCGCTGCCCCGGTCTCGTGGCCAAGGGAGACCAAGGCCCCTCCCTCCGCGTCACCCGGGAGACGCCCCTCGGGGACGCCTTCCGGGCAGCTCGGCGTGCTTCCCAGTCGCCGAGATTGGCACGGGGCACTCTGGGAAGTGTGGTCCGGCTAGCTCCCAGGAGCCAGCCCCAAGACTTCCGCTTCCCGTGGGCATCGGCCAGGCGCGAGGGTTTTTATTTTAGACGTTTTTGCTATAGGGCGCCTGCGCTCGCCAGAGACGGAGAGACAGAAAGCGAGAAATCACCCCCCAGGGGGGATGGCCACGCCGCAATCCCCTCTCCTCCATTCTCTTGGGATCTTGGGCACGCACGCACACACACCCAGCGTGAGTTTAAGCCACCTGATCTGGGACTCGAACCACAGTCGACTACATGGGAGTCCAGCGACAGCCATTACGCTAACTGCTGGTCCCTCTTTCCTTCTTTCTGTCTCTTTTTCTCTCCAACGAATGCACACTCCACATGGAAAGACCTAAAAAAAATTAAATTAGGTTTGGGGAGCCAGCACGTGGCGTGGTGGTTAAGGTGCTGGACTGCTACACAGTTGACCATGGTTTCAGTCCCAGACCCAATGGCTTGATCATGCTCGCGTGTGTGCATAGGCACATGCCCAAAATCACAGGAGAACAGTGGAGAAGGGATTGTGTCACGGCCATCTCCTCTGGGAGGTGATTTCTCACTTTCCCTCTCTCTGTGTCAGTCTGTCTCTCTCCTCTTCCCCAGTAAATGCACTCTATGAAAAAATAAGTAAACAAGGGGACTAGCAGATGGCTAATCAGTAGTGGTTAAGTACTGGACTCCCACACGGACGACTGTGATTTGAGTTCCAGGCCTGGTGGCGTGCTTTCTCACTTTCTCTCTCTCTCTCTCTCATGAGTGCACATGCCCTATAGCCAACTGAAAAATAACAATAAAAATAATAAATAAAATTAAATAATTAAAAATAAATAAAACCTAATCCCCCCCCCAAAAAAAATGCAGCTTTCAGTCTGACTGCTGCCTCCCCCACATCAGACTGGGGCGAGCATAGTCTATGTGTTGCACAAAGCCCCTGGTGGATTCTGACGCTCACCAGGGCATTTGAGCATATTTATTGGTCTATTTCCCTCACAGGCCTTAGGCTCAGTGAAGGAGGGGATGACAGTGACTGTCTTGCTCCTCACCTATGGAAGTCCAAGCACAGAGCCAGTAGGAATGCCAGGTGCCACCAGAGAGGAAGAGGCAGAATAGGTTACTGAGAGCCTCTGGAGGAAATGCAGCCCCACTGACACCTGAGTTCTGGACTTCTAGCCTCCAGAACCAAGAGGGAGTGCATTTCCGTTGTCCTTAGCCACAAGTTTGTGGTCATCTTTGGTAAGATTTCCCAACATCCAGACGCCTGAGGGCCAACAATCCAGTATGTGTCACATAGTGAAGCTGCTTTGACCAAATTATCTAGGAGGGTCACAATAGAGCTCCTGCCCCCACATTTTTTTGTATCATTTGCCAGAGGGCACATGTGCTCACCAGAGAGAGAGAGAGAGAGAGACAGAGGTGGGCTGGGGGTGTGGGAAGGGAAAAGCATCCCCCAGCTGGGTGTGGCCATGCTGCAGCCCCCTTCTTCATCTCTCCATCCATTGGCTCTTGGGCATGCATGTTTTTTCAAGCCTCTGGGACTGGATTTGAACTGTGGTTGGCCATGTGAGATCTGCCTCCCTTGACCACTAGGCTGTGCTGCTGGCTCCTGTGACTTACATTTTAGATGGCCAGTAAACGGAGGCTCCAACAACGCCTGACTCAGGATCCCCTCTAGGAATCTGATATGGGTGGCAGGAACCAGACAGGAAGCTGCACTTTTACCACGGATGACTCCATCATTTCAGTTCTCCTTTCAGGAGTTGCTGCTCTGAGTTTTGTGCTTAATCCTCGGAGCAATGCGCGTATCATCAAGTGTATCCCATTCACTCTTCTGTTCCTTCATGAGGAGGATCATCTGCAGAAGCGCTATTTGTAGTGTTGGCATGACGGCTTTCAAGAATGGTTTAGTCTTGGAAGTTCACACGTCAATTGATGTAAAACAAAAACAAAAACTACTAATCTGGCGTCCGCTCCTTCTCTGGGTTTTCTTCTGCTTTAAGTACAAGTCCCACCTGTGCTGGCTGCACTTGGGTGTCATTTCCACAGATCTCGATAGCAGGTTATTTATTTATTTATTTATTTATTTATTTATTTTTGAGAGGTTTTTGCTATAGGGCGCGTGTGCTTTCTGTCACAGAGAGAGACAGAAAGCGAGAAATCACCCCCAAAGGAGGATAGCCACGCCACAATCCCCTCTCCTCCAGTCTCCTCTCGGGATCTTGGGCATGCACGCACACGCATCTGACATGAGTTTAAGCACTAGATCTGGGACTCGAACCATGGTCAACTACATGGGAGTTCAGTGACATAGCCATTATGCCAACTGCTGGTCCCTCTCCTACATTTTCTGGAGTTCACTGTCTTTTTTCTCTTGCACCTCTGTTAGCTTTGTTACTATGAATATCCTAAATTATTTATCTGACATTTCCATGAGTTCCATTGTACTGTCTGCAGATGATGAAGGGCTGTTCTTTCCCCTTGAGGGAGAGATACTTTCTTGGTTTCCCATATTTATTGTGCCTCTGCAGTGGTGGTTTCTGGTCATTTGATGGAGTATACATTACTTCCTACCTTCCTGGAGTTAATTCTGAGTGTTAGAGATGTGCGTAAAGACATGGCCTGCAATATTTCTGCAGTTCCGTTTCCCTAATCCTCACTAAACAACCTGCACTTTTGTCAATGGAACTGGATATTACAAAGGCCTGACAGTTTTAAGGGAATAGGTGCACCAGGACTGAGCTGCAAGGTTTAAAGTATTCATGCGGATCACTGATAACCCAGAAGGTGAAGAAACTAAGGGTACTGATAATCTATTCCATGAGATCCTGGAATTAAGCTTTCTAAACCTAGAGAATCATTAAAATATCCAGACCCAAGAAATACAAAGGACCCTACATAGAATCAACTCAAGAAGATCAAGGTACATCATAGCCAGATTGACCAAAACCATAGACAGAGATAAGATATTAAGATATTAAAATTGGCAAGAGAAAAACATCAAGTTACTTTCAAAGGATATCCCATCAGGCTAACACATTGGACCTTTCATTGGAAACAATACGAGTAAGGAAAGAATGGGAAAATATATTCAAAATGTTAAGTGAAAAACAATTTCAACCAAAAATACTATATCTGGTAAGATTATGCATATGGGAAGAAATGATAAAAAAAATTCTCAGATAAACAAAACCTGAAAGAATTGATCAACACCAGACCAGCTCTTTGAGAAGTTCTGAAGGGAGTACTATACCAGGAAAACTAAGACAGACAAACAAGAGAACAAAAAACGACCAAGAAAAAGGCCAACTTAATGGTAGGGACAAGTTCTGAAATATTGATAATAATGTTGAATGTTAATGGAAAGGTCAGACCACAGTAACACTGCAAATTCAACAAAAGAGATTACACGAGATTGAGCTGGTGAAATAGAATTCTATGACTTTTTTCTAAAATATTACTGATTTTCATCTATGCTTTGTCTTCTAGATTTAAGGATTTTTGTTTTCTTTTGAGTTGTTGGGTTCAGCAATTTGTTAAAAAAATAATTTTTTAAGTTAAAACATAAAGTTTTCTCCCTTCCTGAACCCTTTGTAATTGGAAAGTATTTCTGAAGATTCTTATTTGTGGCACAATGGTTATTTGCATAAGTTCAATAATACAATAGTATCTGTTGCCAAGCTTGCATCAGAAATTGGATTCTTATGGGACTAGCAGTTAGCGTAATGGCTATGTCGCTGGACTCCCATGTAGTCAACTGCAGTTCGAGTCCTGGACCTGGTCGCTTAAAACTCATGCCCGGCATGTGTGTGTGCGTGCCCAAGATCCCGAGAGGAGAATGGAGGAGAAGGGACTGTAGTGTGGCCATCCCCCCGGGAGGGTGATTTCTCACTTTCTGTCTCTCTGTCTCTGTCTGTCTGGTGAGAACATGTGCCCTATAGCAAAAACCTCTCAAAAAAAAAATGAAAAAAGAAATTGAATTCTTATGAACCTTTGTGTAAATAACAGACCAAATTGAGATTAACTGTTTTTTTATTTGCAAATAAGTTAGTTTATACCTTGCTTTAGTAAGAGAAAGAAAAAAAAGTTTGAGGAGAAAATTATAGTGCTCTTGTCAATAGATTCTGGCTTTGTTCATACTTTAAAATCTTCCATGAATCAACAAAATGTAAAAAAACAAGTTTAGTATGTAAGGGAGGGAGGGGAAAGGGGAAGGAAAAGATTGGTAAAAGTATGCTTAACTGACGAAAAAAGAGAAGCTATCTGCTGATGATAATGTATATAGTAATAGCCTTGTCTTGACTGACATGCATGGTATTTGTGTTGGAAAAAGAAATGTGTACTGTAAGGACATAGTAAAAATGTAGAAAAATTAACTAATTAATTTTTTAAAAAGTAGATAGTTGTGGAGAAATATGGCTGGAGGGCAGAAGGGTATGATCTAATGGTAACTAACAAAGAACTTAGCAAGGCCTGTTTGCTCAGATTCTTGGCAGCTCTGTCTCCAAGGACAGGGACCAGAAGGAGCCTTTCCCCTAGATATGGGAGGCTACCTCTAAAGAGCATTTTATGATGTAAAGAAGAGAAGGTCAGGGAATTCTCTTCAGACCTGCCTCCAGGAGAGGGCAAGGGGAAGTCTGAGAGACCTTCCTGCTTGCTTTCTCACATGCCAAGGTGCCGTATTTGGGATAGCGTGTCCAGAGCTCCAGCCACCCTTCTTCCCAGCCTCCACAGAAACACCAGTGACTATTTGTCTAGTTCAACACTTGTTCACAGCACCTGCTTGGCACAAAGTGGACCTAATAAATATTTGTTGATTGAATTAACAAATGAAAACAGTAGTAATGGATAACCAAAATGGCCTAAGCAAATAACTAAGTCTTCATTTTCTTTTTTAAAGAATTATTGTATTTAACTCTATGTATTTATTTATAATTTGACCAGAGAGGGACAGAATGAGAGAGAGAGACAGAGACAGAGAGAAAGTGAGAAAGCAAGCCGCCAGGTTCACGGTCACCCTTGTGGGAGTCCAGCATCCTTCATTACCACACCATCTGCTGACCCCTGTGTTCTCATTTCCTACTTTCTGTTATTAAGGGGTTGCACTTTGACAGCTGCCGGGATTCCAGCCTCACCCCAGCTGTGCCACTTATGAGTGTGACCTTGGGCAGGTGGCTGAACTTCGAGCCCTGGTTTCCTCATCTATAACAGGAATAATAGTACCAACTCCTAGGATTGTTTCAAAGATGAACTGAGCTGGGGCCTGCAGACTTGCTTTCTTCCCCCACTCCCTCTACCCCCCGGTTAAAATTAAATAATAATAATATTAAATAAATAATTTTCTTTGTAAAAGAATGAACTAGGTTAAACACTGCAAAATTCTTAGAACATTACCTGGCACATACAAGCTACCACGTGAGGAAAAAAAGCAAATTTGCATGGTCCTCTCCACTGTGCGCTCTCATAGTCCAGGAGAAGAGGGGCGTGGAGAGAAAAGGGGTGAAATGGCCCAGCAGCTGCTGCGCCGCTGAGGTTTTACGCATGCTCACTGATGCTGCGGGGGTAAGGAGACCAGGGCAAAACAAGGCATTCACGCCAGCAGCCTCGTCCCAACACCCCTACAAGGTCAGAAGACTACGGTACCCACAATGCATTTCCAGAGCCCGCTCAGCCAATGGTGAGAGGGGACTACATTACCCACAATGCCTGCCGTGGGCCCGCCCACGCGGCCTCGTTCCCACGCTCGGACAGAGGGGTCAGCCAATGGCGAGAGGGGACTGCGTTACCCACAATGCCTCCGTGGGCCCGCCCACTCGGCCTCGTTCCCACGCCTGGTTTGGGGTCCTCCGCTTCCCTGGCCGACGTCCGGGCCGTCCAGCCCGCCGAACGGCCGAAATCCGCCGTTCCGTTGCGGTGCGGCGCCGGTACCTTGCGTGGTCTCACTCTGAGCCCCTCACGCGCCGCAGAGCTGCGGGTGAGTCCCGGCGCCGGGCTCAGGGTGCGGGTCCCAGCTCGAGCTTGCGGCACGCTGCGTGGCCCGCGCCTGAGCTGCGTCCCGGGCCACCGCCCACCGCCACCTGAGGGGCTGAAACCGGAACACTGTGGCCCGGGAGTCTCTCTCAGTACCTAGCACTTGGAGCCACCATCCACTGAGGGGTGCCGACGGGGCCGCGGAGGGGCTTCAGGGCCCACCTCAGTTTTCACCAGACCTTCAGAGGGACCCCTTCTCAAGAGGGCCAGCCGTAACCGTGAAATACTCGTCTCTCGAGCCCTGTCCGCGTGGGGGCACTGCGGAAAGCAAACCCTGTCCAGGCCTCCGTTAGAACCTGCGTGTGGGCCTGGTTTCTGTTTTTCAGACGAGGGAGCAGGGCCGGGAAGGTGAAGTAACTTGCACCAATGTTGGTGAGGGGCTGGGAGTGAAGAACGGCTTGTATATACCGCAGCGTTTTTCCTCTAGCCTGGACCCAAGGAGGGCTTGCGGTGGGGACAGCTGGTGCAGTCCCGTGCTGCGTTCCAAGTGTTGGTGTGCTCTGTCCGCAGAGTCCAGTGTTTGGCTACAGGTGTTGGGAGAGTCAGGTGTGACCCAAAGGTCCAAGGGAACAATGGCCACCGCTTCTGGCCTCCAACCTCCGCCACCCCTGGAGCAGGACCTGGAGCAGGATGAGATCCTGGTGGTGAAGGTGGAAGAGGACTTCTGCTGGGAAGAGGAGCCCTCCCTGGGGACAGAAGACCCCAGCCCTGAGACCTTCCGCCAGCTCTTCCGGCTCTTCTGCTACCAGGAGGTGGCGGGGCCCCGCGAGGCTTTGAGCCGCCTCTGGGAGCTCTGCTGCCGCTGGCTGCGGCCCGAGCTGCGCACCAAGGAGCAGATCCTGGAGCTGCTGGTGCTGGAGCAGTTCCTGAGCGCGCTGCCCCCGGATGTCCAGGCCTGGGTGCGCGAGCAGCAGCCGGAGAGCGGTGAGGAAGCCGTGGTCCTCGTGGAGGGGCTGCAGCGGGAGCCCAGGAAACAGAGGCAGCGGGTGAGGTGGGGGGCATGCTGGCCCTGAAGTGAGGAATTAGCCTGTCACCCTCAGGGCGGTGCCACTGAGGTTTGCAACTGGAGGTTGCTGGGCTCTAGAGCCTTGGCCAGCCTTGATCGCCAGGAGGACCAGGGGCTGCCTAGGTGCTAGGAACTGAAGAAGGAAAGTGTATCTCCACCTGGGCCAATGGGCGTCCAACCTTGGGTTACCACATCCAGCCCCCTGGCCCTTCCTAAGCCAGCATGGACTGGTCGGTTAACACTGCCCCAGCTGGGCAGGCGCACGCTTTGATTGGGGGAAGGTTGGAAACTTCCCAAGGAAAGGCTTTAGGAGCTGAAGAGACCACAAAAGAGGGAAAAACACGTGGGAGAAGGCCCTGGTTAGAGCCCCCAGAGGTTCCCCAGTTTCTCTAGAGCTGTCACTTGCAGCTTTTCATCTTTATTTTAAAGTGTATTTCTTTCATGAACGAGAGTGACAGAGATAGACTAGCACTCCCACCAGGGGCTCAGCACTGCAGTCTACTCCCAGCCTCAGCCAGCCCTGGATCATGGGCACGCCTGTGCCCAGCATCCTTGGGGACGTCTCCAGAACCATCCCAGAACACTCCCATGTGGGTCATCTTCACAGAGCGTTGTATTTTACCACAATGTCACCATCCTGCCCCCAACATGTGTTTTTAAAATTATAACTAAGTAAAATTTGAAAGGTGGCTTCTCAGTCTACTAGCTTCCTTTCAGGACTCAGTGATCACCTGTGGCCATTGGCCACCACAGTGGACACACAGGCAGGTGTCTTCCTCTTCTGTGGGACGTTCCTCGGGCAGTGCTGCTGGAGTGCACACTCCAACTCCGCCAGCCCCAAATTCCTCCCACTTTAGTCTCAGTCACTGAACTCCTCCAGACTGAAAAGGAAAAGTCCTGCCCCATTGCATTCATTCTCTTTCCAGTGCCAAGCCAATCAGGCACCTGGCAGAGACTGACATGGCAGGTCACCTCGCTCCCTGTGGTAGTGCCATTGGCCAACACTGCTGGACTTTTGTGTTCAGCAGACAAGACATTCCCCAGACTTGAGCACAGCGGGGTTGACTGCAGTGAGTGAGTCCTGAACTTGTCCCAGACGCCTCTTTCCTAGCCGCAGCCTCGGCAGTTGGCAGCCTCCCTCTGCCACTGGCACATGGAAACCTCACGAGCAGACAGGGCCAGCGCTGCTCTGCGTGCAGACTGTCTTCTCTCAGGTGTGGATGTGGGGTGAGAGGGAGCCCAAGACAGGTCCCTGGTGGTGCTGACTACAGTTTCTTAGGGACAGCCCCTTCCACGTTCTCTTGCAGAACTCAGTTCTGAGACCCAGTTTCATATAAGTGACCTGTTTTGGAATTAAGAAACAGATCATTTGAGAGCATCTACAGGTAATTTCAAAAGCCTAGCAAATGCAGGAACGTGAACTTTTAATATGTGGCCAGGACTGATTCAGGGCCCTTCTGGCCTAGGGTCTGTCATACCCAGGAATGGAGGGTGAAAGTGTGACAGTGACACTAACTTAGGGTGACAGGGAGTCCGTGGAGCAGGGCAAGCTGGGAGGCCTGACCACTCCCTCAGAGCAGCCAGGGCAGGGCTGAGCCACACAGCTGGCAGAGGGAGCAGGTCTGCAGACAGCCTGGGAATGGGAGGTGACCAGGGCACCTGAGATAAGGGCTCGGGGGCTGTGAGGGCTTTCCCTCTGCCCTTCTGGGAGCTGGTGTGCAGATCTCTGTCTGTATGCAGGGCTCGGAGGTACTTTCTGAAGACATGGTGTCCCTTGGAACGGGGGGACAGTTCCAGAAACGCCAGGCAGAGGAATGCTCCCTGGAGGAAGGAGCTCAACGCACCAGCCAGCAGCCCCCATCTCAGCTGAGTTACAGGCCAAAGAGGGTCCCCTTGCTCTGGCCAGAGAGGGGTGAGTAGTTGTCCCCTGGAGAGGTCACAGGGGAGGGAGGCAGGGCCTGCCCAGATGTGGGGCACGAGCTCTTCAACGAGGAGCTTTCCCGTGAGTAGCTTTGCTTGAGGAGAGCCGGCCTTTGCTGCCACCCACGTGGGCCTGTGGGCGTGCGGGGGTGAGTTCAGGGGGCTCTGTTGCTGACTCTCCACTTCTTCCCAGGCCCGCCGGCCTCCCAGGATCAGGAGATGGCGTTGCCTTCGTCCTTCCTCTCAGCCTGCTCCCAGGTGAGCCGGGCTCCCGTCTGCAGCATCCCACGTCTGACCTTCCCCACCCCTGTGGGACACACTTCCTGCTAAGGTGACACGTCTCCCCTTGGCCAAGGCTCTGGATGTCGGAGGAGCTCCCCCTGAAGGCCCTCCCCTGGCCTCTTGGGAAGTCTTGTCTTCCATCCTCCAGATGTCCTGGCAGACCCTGGGGTCCAGCAGTGAGGTGGGGCCGTGACTTCAAGGCCAACTGGGCGCCAGTCTCTTTGGACTCTTGGGAAAATACAGGCTCAGTCTGGAATGGGTGTCTCCTCCATTGGTTCATTGTTGGTGTTTAATTTGCCAAAAGGCGTGTGCAGTCCCCAGAGCGATGAGACGGAGAGCAGGAAGCACCCCCGGGGGGGCATGGCCATGCCGCCGTCCCTTCTCCCCCATTTCTCCGCCCTGTCTGGGTTTAGGGCATGCACACGCATGCACTTGGTGTGTTTTGCAAGCCTCTGGGTCCAGTGTTTGAACCGCACAGTTGGCCACGTGGGATCGGCTGTCTTAACCACCAGGCCCTGTGTGTTTGTTTTAGTAATAGCTTTGTTGGGATAGACTCATGTGCAGTTTACCTGCGCCAGCCTTTTTGGTTCTTTCCTGAGTATTGCAGCCTTCACCACATCAATTCAGAACATTTTTATCACCCCCAGAAAACACCTCAGAGCCATCAGCATCTCCCCCTTTCTCTCAGTAGCCCCAGCCTCTGGCAACCACTGATTTTTTTCCTGTCTCTGGATTTGCCTATTCTGGACATCATTGGCTCATTTTTTAGCCAGGTTCCTCAGCTCAGTCTGGTGCTCAGTGTGGGAGTCGCAGGGGCATCTTGAGGTCTCCAAGGTGCCCTCACGCAGGGCCCCAGGCAGCTAGAGTGGAGGCAGGGGTGCTGCTCACGTCCCTGGGGAGCGTGGGCCCTGCCATGATTTGCTGCTGCACGGCACACCTGTGCTTTCCACTGGGCCCCAGTCCGGCAGCAGCAGGACCGAGGGTGGTAGCAGGAGCCTTTCCCCCAAGCAGGCCACTGTGAGGGCAAGGCGAAGGGGAGGCAGGACCTGCCGTGGGGACACGGGCAGAGGACAGGGTGATCAGCCAGGCTTGGCTGCAGCCTGAAGGAGCCATGAGAGTCACAGCACTGGGGCATGGCCTTCGGCAGGGCGAGGGTGGCTCATTTGGAGCCAGGACTGAGCGGGGTAAATTCCAGCAGGTGCCAGGGACCTTGGAGGACGTGACTGTGTACCTGTCCGGGGAGGAACAGGGATCCCTGGACCGCGCCCAGTGGGACCACAGCTGCGACGTGCTGCCGGAGAACGAGGAGAACGAAGGTAACGTACTTGGAGACTGTGCCCTCTGAGAGCCTGTTAACAGTCAGGACTAGGCCCTGGGCCCAGGCCTTTGGGTGACTCCTGGCAAGTCTGCTGGGCAGCCTGCAGGGCCAGGTTGCTGATGTCCCCGCAGCGTCCCATCTGCCAGGGCAGCCACTGGTCCTGTCCTAGGCAGATGCCTGGAACTTCTCTTGGGGTCCTTGTTCTGTCACCCTGACACCCAGGGCTGTTTCAGCCTTACTTCAGCTTCAGTCCTGCCCTTGACCCCTACACAGCACTATGTCCAGTGAGGCCTGACTTCCCTCCTGTGCCACTCAGAGCCCTCCACATTGGCACCTGGACCTCCAGCCACTGCCTTCCCAGCCCCCTCCCTCGACACTCTTCCCATCTGGCTCTCTGTGCCACTCCCAATGCTGCCGAAACCCTTTCTAGAAGAGTAGAGATGCCGCCTTGCAGCAGGACTCAGAGAAGTGTGTGCACACGCACGCGCACGCACACGCACACACACACACAGTTATTTTAAGGGCTTGGCCTTGGAATGGTGAAGCTGACTGATCGACGCTGCAGGGCAGGCCAGCAGGCTAGAGACTTAGACAGCATTTCTTTGTTATGGTGTCGAGGCTGAATGCTTTATCTAGGAAACCTCAATATTTGCTTGTAAGGCTGGACCACCTCCTAGGGGCTGGTTTCTCTTGCCTGCAGTAGCGGTCTCCAGCCTTTCCAGCACCAGGGACTGGCCTTGTAGAAGACAGTCCCTCCCTGGATGGGGTGGGTGTGGTCTCGGGACGACCCAGAGCCCCACATCCATGTGCACCGTATCCACCACTGCCATGTTGTAGTACGCAGTGAAGCCACCGCTCAGCAGCTGGGCTCAGGCTCCCAGGAGAACCCAGCTCTGCAGCTGGTCCTGCAGGAGGCAGAGCCATGATGTGAGCAGATGCTAACAGGTGACGCCTCATTTGCTTTCCTGTTGCCCACGCCCCACTGCTCAGCATGGCAGGCAGCACTGGTCCACAGGGCTGGGGACCTCTGACCCACAGTCAGCTGATGTGGGCCACAGCCATGTTTATGAAAGCCCCTGATATTTGACCAAACAGCAGACACTATAGCCCAGCCAAAGTGACACTTTCTTTACATCTTTGTTTTCTCCCTGTCTGGAAAAAATGAAAATAAGCGTATCTGGACCACCACGGGACGGCAGGTCCTGAGCCGCTGTGCATGCCGTCATGGGCCTTTGTCCTGTGCTCTTTGGTCTGTGTCCTCCCGTCGTGTCACAGTCCTCGGCCACTTTCTCTGTTGTGATGAGCCAACTCGGGACCTCTCCCAGAGCCAGTGAGAGTCTAGGGACCGCCATCCTCCCCTCCTCTAGAGGAGACTGCCCAGAGCAGAAAGCACTTCCTGCTGCCGTGAGTCGGAGTGCCGAGCTCGTCCATAAGCCCCTCTGAGTCCCCCTACTCCAGCCCAGAGGCTGCTGAGCCCCGGTTCCTTGTGTCCTGACTCAGCCCACACACACGTCCTCTCCCCTTAACCTGGGAGCAGGACTTGCTGCTCCCTGAGCCCTGGCTGGGGCAAGGGGAAGGTCCGCGGGACCCAGAGGGCAGTCCTTGGTGGAGGCAGCTCAAGTGAGATGGGCCAGGGAAGACAGGAATCCCAGGTTAGATTCCCAGATCCCTTGGCAGTGTAGACCTTGTGACTGTGTCTATGAAGTTCAAGTCCAGGGCCTCGAGCACAGGTCAGCAGTAATGAAGATCCAGCTGTGGTGGCTGTGGTCCCCCTCGCACTGACTCAGCCGCTGTGGCAGCTCTGGCATGGCCACCAGGGCCACCAGGAAAACAGGCAGACGCAGCTATGCTCCCAAAACTCCTTGCAGAAACCGGCCTTGGCTGTGGACAGGCGGCCTAGGAGGGTTTCAGTTCATGAGGGAATCACTCCACAGCGAAGGAGAGCCACGCCGGGTCAGCCTGCGGCAGCGTGACTTGCAATTCTTGAAAAAGCGAAGCTGGAGGACCAGCAGTTAGTGTAATATTTATGTCGCTGGATCCCCATGTAGTCAACTGCGGTTCGAGTCTTGGACCAGCGGCTTAAACTCACGCCGGGCGCATGTGCGTGCGTCCCCAAGATCCCGAGAGGAGAATGGAGGAGAAGGGATTGTGGCGTGGCCATCCCCCTTGGGGGGTGATTTCTCACTTTCTGTCTCTCTGTCTCTGTCTTTCTGGTGAGCGCACGCACCCTATAGCAAAAACCTCTCCAGAAAAAAAAGCAAAAGCAAAAGCAAAGCCAGCAGGGAACCTGGGCTGGCCCGGCCATCAGGGATGCCCCCAGGAGAGGTGCAGAAACCCGTGTGTGTCCCCCAGTCAGCAGCCCTGAGGGCACACTGACCAGGCGCGCTTCTCCAGAGCCCAATGGGGGAGCTGGACAGGCTCAGAGCACCATGCCACCAAGTGCAACAGGAGGCACGAACTCTGCGCTTCCCACACCCACTGCCCTGTGTGCCTGCTGTGGGGGGTGTCAGCCTGGTTCAGGGAATGGGCCCGTTTGGGTTTCTGTTAGGGCTTTTTTTTTTTTTTCTTTGTTTGCCTGTTTGTTTTTAGGTTTTTACCATAGGGTGTGTGTGTGCTTGCTGGAGAGGGACAGAGACAGAAGGGAAAAGAAATCATCCCTCAAGGGGGATGGCCACATTGCAATCTTCTCCAGTCTCCTCTTGGGATTTGGGGCATGCACACACATGTGCCCGGCATGATCTTCAAGCTGCTGGATTCAGTACTTGAACTACAGTCAGCCATATAGAAGTTCAGCATCTTAACCACCATGCCGCCTGCTGGCTCCATTTATTTTAAAATAATTATTTATTTCATTTGTTATTATTACTTTTAAAATTTTTGCTATAGGGCATTCACCAGAGAGATAGAGAGAGAGTGAGAAAACAAACTGCCAGGTCAGGGACTTGAACCTCATTTGGACATGTTGGAGTCCAGTGCTCCAACCACCACATGACCCACTGGCCCACAAGATTTTTTTTTTTTTTCCCTAGAGATTTTGCTGGGGGAATGGCCATGTCACAATCCCTTCTCCATTCTCTTGGAATTTTGTGTGCCCAGTGTGAGTTTTAAGCCACTAGGTCCAGGACTCAAACTGTGGTTGACTGTGTGGGAGTCCAGCGACATAACCATTACACCATCTTCTGGTTCCAGGTTTTTGTTTCCTTAATTAAAATTTATTGGCCTGGCTTGTGGCATTCAGTAGACAGAACTGCAGTGCTGGGGGCCACATGGCTGACTGGGTTCAGACTCCCTGCCCCGTGGACATGAAGCCCACCTGGACCTGGCTCATTCTGTGTGTGTTTAGGTGGGTGGGGTGGCTATAGGATGTTTTCAACAGCCCTGACCTCCCCCTACTTAAGAGGCCAGTGCCCTGCCCCCTTCTCAGTCCTGACAAATGTGCCCAGACAGTGCCCCACATGAGAACTCCTGGCTTAAAGGTGGCAGCAGACTAGGCCCGATGGCCTGGGTGCTCTAATAGCCCCCTGGCTCTGAGTGGGTGTCTCAACTTCCCTGTGCCTCAGTTTCTTCATCTGGGATGGTAGCAGCACTGCCCCATGTGGGGATGAGGAGGATTAGGTGAGTTCTAGTTTCTTTTTAAAGTTTATTTCTCCCATGAACAAGAGAGACAGAGACAGCAGCCCTAGCAGGATCCAGGCACCCCATCTACCCCGTGTCAGCCAGCTCAGGGTGGGGGACATGTGTGTGCTTGGTGTGCTCAGGGAGGTCCTTGGACATGAACCCAAAACCTCCTGTGTGGGTCAGCCTCCCAGCACTTGCGTCTTATCGAGTGCCATCAGCTGCCCCATGTGTTCAGAACAGCTCTGGTGTGTGCTTTCGGTTCCTCCTGTCAGGGTCTAACCCTTCCCGTGTAAGCATTCCTGTGAGTCCCTCTGAGCCTGTCCCTGCTTTCTGTCCCAGGGCTTGGGATCCAGCTGGAGGATGGAGGTGACGCCAGGGAAGACGCTCTGCTGAGGATGGAGTGGTACCGAGTGCTGTCAGCACAGTGCCCGGGGCCTGGCCTCCCTTGTCCACCCTTGGTGGGGCCTGAGCGGCCAGGAGGCTGCCCCCGGCAGGCAGGAGCAGGGCCCCGCGGGGCGGATAAGCCATTCACCTGCCCCGAGTGCGGCAAAGGCTTCAGTAAGACGTCCCACCTGACCAAGCACCAGCGCACGCACACCGGGGAGCGGCCGTACAAGTGCCCGGTCTGCGGGAAGGGCTTCAGTGACCGCTCCAACTTCAGCACGCACCAGCGCGTGCACACGGGCGAGAAGCCCTACGGCTGCCCCGAGTGCGGGAAGCGCTTCAGCCAGAGCTCCAGCCTGGTCATCCACCGCCGGACGCACACGGGCGAGCGGCCGTACGTGTGCGCGCAGTGCGGCAAGAGCTTCAGCAACAGCTCACACTTCAGCGCCCACCGCAGGACGCACACGGGCGAGAAGCCCTACGCCTGCCCGGTCTGTGGCAGGGGCTTCCGCCGGGGCACCGACCTCCACAAGCACCAGCGGACCCATGCAGGGGATGGCTCTCCACCAAAGCACCAGCCAGGCACACCCGCCCAGCTCTAGGAGGCCCCCGGGCCAAAGCGTGAGCTCCACACCCAGAAGCAGCCTTCCCAGAACCCTTTGCAGAAGTTCACAGTCACAGGATTCCTGATCTGCCAGACTTGGTTCTGTCCTGGACCTGAGACCCGGGTCTGAAAGCGTCCAGGCTGACCCAGCTCCCGGGGGGCCCAGTGAGGACCTGCTGGTGGCAGGTGTGCACTGGCACAGAGCAGGGAAGCTCGTGCAGGTCCCAGTGGGCAGCACGGCAAGGACGAACTCTGCAGACTGGCACACACGTCGAGGCCAGGGGTCTGCGCTAAGGGGTCATCGGGGCTGGTCCCTCCTGAGAACCTGATGGAGTCCCTCCCCTGTCTCTAAAGTGTCTCACGGTGGCTGGCAGTCGTGGGCTTGTAGCCTCGTCACTCCCATCCCTGCCTCTGCTGTCACTTGACCTGACCCCTGGCTCTTTGTGCCTCTCTCCTCTAAATCACCAGTCCCCACATGGCCCCTTCTCTGCAGTCCGCCATGGCCTCCGAATAGGCGCACATTCTGAGGTTCGGGGATACCTGCCCACTCCAGGGAACCCTGTTGGCTGCCTCCCTGCACCCCCCCGACCTATCACACGTGGCCACTGTGGGCTTCTCCAGGTCACAGTCAGTGGGGGGTTCGGGGTCTCCTTCAGGACCCACGGCTGCTCCACAGCCTAGGGGACACCCTAGGACCCTGTCTTCCTGACCTCCCCACCCTGAGGAAGGCCAGGTTTTTCCTGGGTCTGATCCCTCCCCGGGACTCCCATACCTCAGTGGTGGCCTCCCTCGGTTACCCCACTGTCTCTAAGGTGGGAGTCTCCGCCCTTGACGTGGGCAGCGAGCCTCTGTCACACCCACATCCGAGAGGCGAAGGCAGTGGGGTGAGCATCCTGGGGCCTGGTCATCACAAGTCACGGGACAGCTGCTGAGCGCTGGTTTTAGAAGGTTCCACCCAGGCCTAATCCAGTCCTGTGACTGGTGGCCTTGTCCCTGTTGCAGCCTGTTGCTCAATTCCATCCTGTCACCCAAGCGCTGTATCTGTTGCCCCTTTCAACACAGCCCAGGTACAGGGCGTGTGACCCGCCCTCTTCGTTCCTGTTACAGGCAGCACCGGTGCCGCCCCAACCCAAGCTCTGCCGGGTGTCCCCACAGGGGCTGCCCAGTCCCTGGTGTCTTTTACCTCCCAGCCCAGCGCCAGGTGCTCCCATGGGGCACATGGTACCCCCGGATGTGGCCAGGCCACCCTCCCACCTGCCAGCCCAAGCCCAGCACCCTTCCTGTCTAGCATGGCCTGAGCCCCCAGGTCCGTTTCTCTGGTCCAGGCTGGTGTTGGAGGTGGCTGACAAGGGTGCCCCTGGGGGTCTGTGTGCGTCCTGGCCTGGGAGTCCCCACCGTGGGCAGGCTGGCCTGCCGCTCCACCTCTCCCTGCCAGAGTGGACAGGGGTCTCTGGGTCCTCTGAGTTGGGGCTTCCGTGGTTCTTTCACCGGTGAGGAAACTGAGGTGCCCAGGGTGTTAAGACCTTGCTGAGGGCAGAGCTGGCTTTGGACCCAGGTCAGCCCCCTGGCCAGTCCCATAGCTTGCCTTGACAAACTCACAGGCTTGGGACAAAGTTTACTGTATCGCTGTGACATCCAGAATGAGCTTACTGGCAGCCAGGGGTCCAGGTGCGGGGAGGTATTGGACTACAAGGCCGTCTCCCCGCGGCTGGGCTGTGCGCGTGACTGACACATAGGCCACCTGTCAGGCCTGTGCCCTGCCTGCATGAGAAGAGGACTGCGGCGTGGGGGTGCTGTGGCCTGCCTGGTCTCAGCTCCTGGTGAAGCCTGGTCGTCATGGGGAGTCAGGGGCCTGGGAGTCGGCCCTGTGGCCGCACCCCGACCTCAGCTGCCCGTGGCTGGCGTTTGTGTGCTGCTGCTGTCTGAGCCGCACGTGCCTGGCGGTGGGGGCCCGGGTGCACGAGCCCCTTGGCCACCCTCCGTGATGTGGCAGCCTGCAGAGATTCCCAGTTGAACACTGGCCTAAAGAACAAGTCCCCAGCCATGGTGCCTGTGCCCGTGGCATGGTGGGACCCGAGAACAGCAAGAGGACAAGGGTGCTGCAGATGCGGGCTTCAGCCTGTCGGGAGCTGCGGACTAAGCAGCGGTTACGGCAGACTGAAGATGGGCTGGCACGGGTGGCCGCCATGGGGCCAGGCTCGGCGGGGCAGCTCTGAGCTCTGGCTCCGGGAGCTTATCACTGCATTCCACAAGGGAGTTCCTGGGGTCACAGAACACCACCTTAAGTTTGTAAGGACTAGAACCCATGTGCCCTTGTATCCCAAGTAAAAGAGAGAAGAAAAAGCAAAGTTGTTATCCACCCCTCTTTTTGTTTAGTTTTTTGCTACAGGGAGTGTGCCAGAGGGAGGGGAAATGAGGACCTTCCCCCCCAGGGGGTGGCTGCATCATAGCCCCTTCTCCAGTGTCGTCTGTGATGTTGGGCATGTATGTGCACACGGCTGGCATGACTCCCAAGCTGTGTCTGGGACATGAACCATGTAGTCACCACATGAGATTCAGCTGCCCGACCTCCATGCCACCTGATGGCCCATTAATTCATTTTTCAAAAAACCCATTATGGGGAATCAGCAGTTAGCGTAATGGCTATGTCGCTGGACTCCCACGTAGTCGACCACGGTTCGCGTCCTGGACCCGGTGGCTTAAAACTCACGCCGGGCGCGTGTGCGTGCGTGTCCAAGATCCCAAGAGGAGAATGGAGGAGAAGGGATTGCGGCGTGACCATCCCCCCTGGGGGGTGATTTCTCGCTTTCTGTCTCTATGTCTCTCTCTGTCTGTCTGGCGAGCGCACGCGCCCTATAGCAAAAATCTCTC